CAGGTAAGGGAGGGGCAGCAGCCTGGGCCCAGCCCCTCGGGGCAGAGCGGGGTCCCTGCTCCCTGCACAGGGCAATCCTCACACCTTCTCCTCTTCCCCTGCAGCACCACAGCTTCCAGTTCCACCTGCGACTCCGCAGGTTGTGGTTCTGGGCTGTCCCTCCGACTGGGTTGGATACAATGGAGTGTGCTACTACTTCTCAAGTGATTCCAGAAGCTGGGAGCAGAGTCAAGAGCGGTGCTCCGAGCTCGGGGCCTCGCTGGCCATTCTCAAGGAGGAAGAAATGGTGAGTGAGGGGCTGCGGGCGCTTTGGGGTGTCTGAGGGGAGCCTGGGGGTGCTCGTGGTCCGGGCTGGGTGCTGGTGGGGCTGGGGCTGCAGCCCTGTGCCGGGGCCTTGCAGGGAAGGAGCCCCGGGGCCGTGTCCCCCCGAGGGGCCGGGGCAGCTCCCACTGCTCTCTCCTTGGCAGGATTTTTTCTTTCTCCTCCGCGGGAACGGCGATTACTGGCTCGGGCTGCGCAGACGGGGCGAGCAGCTGCAGTGGGAGGACGGCAGCAGCTTCAGCTCCTGGTGAGTGCCGGGGAGCCGGGCAGGGCATGGGGGGACAGGGGCACAACGTGTTCCCCTGGCATCCAGCGCTGTCTCTGCTCCTCCCTGCAGGGCTCCTGTCCTTGGCAATTCCGAGTGTGTGTACCTGGCTGACAATAAATTCAGGAGTGTGATGTGCTCCAATCCGCAGCCGTATCTGTGCAGCAAGGCCCGAGCTCCCCTGTAACAGGGGGTGGAGAAAGGACCTTCTCCCTGCTGGGCAGTGCCACCTTCCCCTCTTAGGCCGGCACAGGGCTGTGCTTTCTCAGCTGCACCCTGTGCCTTGCACTTGCTCTCAGGGTCACCTCAGTGCCTGTTCATCTCCTCGGCCAGCGCTGGGCTGGGTTTTCCAAGGAAAAGTCTCTGCAATCCATCCTGCCACCCATGCTAGCAGAATGAGGTAATTGGCCTCATTGCACAACACGATCGAATTGGAAAACTAAATCACCCTGGGCTCTTAGAAATCATCTCCAATTGGCCTGAAGGTGAGGCTTTTGGACTGCCTTTGGAAAAGGAAGAAGAAGAGCTGACGCGTCCTGAGGAGGAATCCCACTTTTGGCATCAGGCACCTGACTGTGAAGAACGGCCTCTCTGTCTGTCTGTCTCTCTGTTGCAAAGGATCTGATTGCTCTGCTCTGCGGGGAACGCCAGGCTAGTGCAGGACAAGGATTTGTTTCCCTGACGGTGAAGTAGTGACATGATGTGACTGTAACCCACATCCCTCTGTGTCAGTGTGTGGGGAAGAGGGAAGGAGGGAACAGGCAATATAATGAAGTCCAGGAAGGAGAGAATAATATGGGGAAGGTGCATTTTTAG